GACAAGGTTTCACTATGCAGGTCAGGCTGGCCCTGAGCTCACTTTGTAGCCCAGCCTGGTCTCAAACTTGCTACGATCCTCCTGCCTCAGCCTTCAGAATGCTGGGATTACAGGCATGCACCACCACGTCCGGCACAGATCTTTATATTTTATTTTGAGACAAGGTCTTGCTGAATCTCTAAATTGTCAGGCTGGGCTTGAACTTGTGATGCTCCTCTGCCTCAGCCTCCTGCAGTGCTGGCATCACAAGTGTAAGCCACCCAGCATACCCAGCTAAGGACAGGAATTTGGTCTGTTTTGTCACTGCCCTCTTTTGAGCACCTGGCACTGAGTAGGCACCAAATAAATAATTGCTGACTGGTACAAACACGTGTGGAATGCGTATGGTGCCCCCAGAGAACCACCCAGAGGCCTGCTGCACAGAGGCGCTAACACTGATAATCCACCTGCTCTCGTCGGGAGCACGGAGACCATGTCACACCCTAGGCTAAGTACTTTATATTGATAAGCTGTTCATCTGATTCAGCAACCCCAAGAGGTTAACAGTGTTATTATCCTAGGTTACAGGCAAGAAAATCAAAGTCTCACTCCTTGGAGTTAAGCAGCTTGCCAAGGTCCTGAAACTACTCAATGGCCAAGCTGGGAATCTAACTCAAGAAGCCCTCAGCATCTATCACTGCGTATAAAAAAGGACCTAGAAGAAAGGATCAGGGAAAAGCCTGGCTGGGTGCTGGGAGTCAGGAGCCCCTGTTTAGCTCCTAAGTAGCTGTGTACTAGGCTGGGTGCTGTGTACTGGGGCTGAGTGGTGCTGGGAATCAGGAGCATGTTTAGCTGTTAAGTAGTTATGTATACTAGGAGTTGAAGCCAGGTCCTTTGCATTGAGCTACGCACCCAGACCTTTTTAAAAATTTTTACTTTGAGACAGGTTCTCATGAAGTCACTGAATTGCCATGGCTAGGGTTGAATTTTGAATCCTTCTGCCTCAGCCTCCCACGGTGCTGAGATCATAGGCATGCACTACCACATTAAGTTTGTGTGATTTTGAACAAATCATACGGCCTCTCTGACTTTGTTTTCCCTTCCATAAAGACAGAGCACTCATTCCCGCGGCTTCAGATCTTCAGTAGGATCAAAGGAACTAAAGGATGTGCTCATGTCCTCCGCTCAGCCCCGAGCCCTCCCCAGGGCACTGCTGGGAAGGACGGTGGGAAGGCTCAGGGAGGAGGACGTGCCCAGTGCGGGCTCTGGACAATGCTCTGCAGCTGCTCACCACAGCTGGGGAGAGTCCAGGCCAGGCCCAGGCCAGGGGATAAGGGGCAGCTGGGAAGTCACCTCTGTCCTTCTGTGTCACCCTTCCCTGCTGACAGCTGCTGGGACTTCAGGGCAAGGTCCCCTCAATGGGCAGGGACAGGGTATGTGGAGGAGGGAGCTGGTCAGGGTCATCTCAGTCCTCACGCTGCTGTCCACCCCCCATCCCTTCACCCAGAGGGCTGTGAGCCCAACATGCCATTACTGAGCTGGACTCCCAGGCCCCAGGGCAGGCAGCAGGCAGGGCAAGGGTCCCAGGAGACCCCAGTGGCTTTCCTTTCCTGTGCACAGCTCCCTTGCAGGCCCTGCGAGATACCCCTCCCCCGGAGTCCATGAGCTTGGCCACTCCAGCCCACACGCTTTCTGAACTCTCATACACCCATAAATACAACTGACCATATTTTCTGAAGCAAAGGAACCTTTGAACAAAGGTATTTCTCAGCGACTTCCAAGTGTCAGAGGCAGCCTGGGAGATGTAGTCTAGATGGAGCAGTATTCAGATTTCTAGAACATACTAATAGTCTTTTGGGAAGACTAGTATATTTGAGCCGGGCATGGGGGTGCACGCCTGTAATCCTAAAACTCAGGAGACTGAGGCAGATGAATTGCTGTGAATTCCAGGACAGCCTGAGCTACACAGTGAGTTCAAGGCCAGCCTAAACTATATAGCGAGAGCCTGTCTCAAAAAACAAAACACCCAAAAATAAATGGAAATAAAAATGACCACCTCACTAGGCTGCTGTGACAGTGCCACAGATCAATGTAAGTGCTTAACGTACTTAAATTAAATCTAAGTGTCACCTCTTCCCCTTCTTCCTTTCCCACTACACCCATCCCAAGTTAACCACCAAAAGTGAGCCCTCTAGAACCCCATGGAGAACAGTCCCTTCCCCCAGATTTTCAATAAGCTGCCAAGGAACATGGCCACAGAAAGTTCCAATGCATTCCTGGGTCCTGGGCCACCAGGGCTGGAAGGGATCCGCTAGCCCAATACTCTTACTCATCAGAAGGGGAAACCAAGGCCCAGGGAGAGAAGTGAGATGCCCTGGGTTCAAATCCTGCCTCTGACACCCCTGACTGTTGGGGACCTTCCATGTGAGCCTTGTTAAGCCTCCCCAGCCTGCGGTGTTGACACAGGGTGCAGCTGCACAGGTCAGGCAGCTGTCAGAACAGGAGAGGAAGAGGAGCATCCAACCCTGCCCCAGACCCCCTGGCTGCCAACACAGGACTTTGTCTCCTTGGAAACAGGGACTCCCTGTGGCCAGGACAAGGTGTCACATCGATGAGGACTCTGGGAGGGTGCCTGTAGGTGAGATCTTTGTTAGGGGCCAATTGGAGCCTGAGACTCCAGTCTGAATCTCTGGGACCTACAGGCGATCCCCGCTTACTCCAGGGAGGGCAAACATTTCAGAGTTAGCAATGATATAAACAACCCACTGTGGCACCCCTGCCGTAGGTTCACCACCCCTGCTCTAGCCTGTCCCCAAGCGGGAGACAGACAGGCCCAGCCGAGGAGATGGCAGAGGGCTGGCAGGCCAGGGGTGCGTGTCCTTGGCAGGCGTGCTCTGCCTCCCCAGGACTCGGGTTACCGGAAATGATAAATCTCTCTGCCGCCTGTCACCTCTGACCAGGAATGTCTGCTGCTGAGGGCACATCCTGTCCACCTGCCCCTAGACAGCCTGGGGACAGTGGGCACCTCGGCCCACCCTCTGCTCCCTGCCACTCTGGGTCTCCCTAGCCGAGAGCAGCTCCTTCATTCAAGTGCAGTGTGTGCTGCTGCAAAGGGCAATCACAGGAGAAAGGGGCAGGGCTGGACTCAAATGCTACTTTTTTTTTTCTACCGGGGAACCGAACTCACAACCTCGTGCTTGCCAGGCAGGCACTTACACCACTGAGCTTTATGCCCAGCCCTGCTACTTCCTTTCGTGCATGGGTTCTGAGCGGCCTGTTTGGGTGCAGGTGCTGCTCCTGTGAACCCAACCGAGGAGGTAGCACTGAGACCTGGTGGCCTAGCTAGGTTGGCAGCCTGACTCTGCCACCCGTGAATTCCAGATGGGTAGCACTATGCAGGTCACTGCAGCACCTCCCAGCCCTCCTGTGAAATTCACAGCACTGACGCGCGGGTCGCTAAGTGATGGGTGGGCCCAGAAGTGGGATCAGGCTGTGGGAAGCATTGGGAAGGAGTAGGGTAGACGACCAGGAGCTGTCATGGGGACAGGGCATCTCTGCCCTCCTGGGACCGACACTCTACTGAGAATCAGATGGACCCTAAATCAATACCTCAAATGGCGAGTGTGCTAGAGAGAAAACCAGTAAGGGGAGGAGGATGAGGACGGGAAACGGGGGCTGCTACGACCAGGCAACGCTACAGAGGTTTGAAGGAATGGGGGATGCACCAGGCATGTTCATGGAGGAAGAGCACTGAAGGCCACTGCAAAGGATCCTCAGGCCAGGAGGTCAGCTAGATTCCTAACCATATTATTATCCCACTCCCTTGGAGGAGGCAGGTGTGGCTCGGAGGGAGGAAGGGACAAGGCCAGGACCCAACACTCTTTCCTGGCCAAGCATCCAGGGACCACCGTCTGGGGACCACTAACAGGGATGGGATAGAGAAAAGCACAGATTGCCTTTGAGTCCAAGTGTGATTCTCTCCAGCCTGGCTGTGTGATCTCAGAGAAGTCATCTCTCCTTGCTGGGCCGCTATGCCCCCACTGCTCATGGACCAGTAAGGCTTGCTCTATACACCTCCCGGGAGATGGCAAGGGGACCCAGATGCTGGGCAGTACCTTGGGCTTCTATGGCATCTTTGACTCAAAGCTCCTCCCACACAGAGATGAATGCAGGTACAGACCCTACCTGCCTAAAAAGCCCACTGTTGGCCCCAAGGGTTTGCATCCTCCCTATGCCTGTCTGGGCTGTGGCCTCCCTCAACCCCAGGGCCCAGGCACACCTCTGTCCAGGTGGCAGACATGGCCCCTGGGCCCTAGGTCCAGTGCAGGAGCAGCTCCCTGTGCACCCAAGCAGGTGGAGGCCCACGAGCAGCCTTTGTTACCAGGGTATCAGGTCAGGCCAGCCCTCATGGGCACCAGGCCAGACTGAGGCCCAGCCAAGTGCAAACAGCATGCCCGGCACCCAGCTACAGGCGTGTTAGAGCGGGCAGGCTGCCACTGCCCCCGTCACAACAAACCATCCTTTCCACCCTGCTGAGGGGTCCAGGCAGCCAGCACCCCTGCTGGAAGCTGGGGCAGCACAAGGGGCAGGAAGTCCTCTCTCCTCCTCTGGGAGTAGGCATTGAGAATCTCAGAGCCTGGACACAGCACCAGTTACCAGCAGCTAGAAGCGGAGGAGCAGAGCCAGGCTGCAGAGAGGGTGGGAAATGCAGGGCGACTGGCTGGAGCCAAGTCATGGATTCTTCAGCATTACGGGTGACAGCTGGTGAGGGGAGAAAAAGATTTCCCCCCAGCTGCCATCAAGAAAGCTCAGATGGGCCAGTACCATGAGAGGGGCGGTCTGGCCTGCGCCACCAAGTCCTGGGGTGGCTCCAGATGGGACAGGGGAAGTGGAGGTGACCACAGCAGTGCACATTATGCAACCACATTGCCCCAGACATCTTCCTGCGAGGTAGAAATCATGCATACCTGCATTGTCCCCTAGAGAGGCTACATGTGACCACCCGGAACTTGTAATTGAAATTTATTTCGCTGAATTTTATACTTAATTATATGTGGCCAGCAGCTACCACACTGGACGGTGCAGACTGCACCATCACCAGACCTTGAACTAAGCCAGAAGTGGGAAACTGAGGCTGGCCTGAGGACACATAGCTGATAGGCCACAGAGGCGATCAGCACCGTGCTTCCCACCCTGGGTCATTGTCCATGCTGGAAAGGGACTGGAGGAAATTGTCCATGTGCAGGCGGTAAGGCGGCCCTCTAATCAAGGCGTCAAGTCTCCTGGCTTCTGGCTCGCATTCCGTCTGCTACACCCGTTATCACACGCTGACCAGAAGCTCCGACGGGCTATTAAGAAAGGTCTTTGATTCTGCGGCATGAAGAAAGGGCAGAAAGATGACGGGATATCCCAGCTGGCTGGGAAGCCAAGCCACTGTGAACCGGGGGAAGCTTCAAGGGTGAGGACGCTGGGCGTGGCCTCCCCACCCATCACCTGGGACCCCGCCAGGGCTACCGCCAACAGGAGTCCAGAGCCTGGTCACTGCCCTTTCCTGCTCCTCAGACTCCAGCTGGCATCTGCCCCTCCCTCCTTCACAGCCTCCGCTCTGCCTCTCAAAGGCCTGATCCCCTCGCACAGATGCAGGCCCTAAGGTTTCTTTCTTTTTTTTTTTTTTTTTGTCTTTTTCATTTTTATCGGTACTGGGAATCGAACTCACGACCGCCTGCTTGCAAGGCAGATGCTTATGCCGCTGAGCTAAATCCCCAGCCCCGGCCCCAAGGTTTCTACCTTAGGTCATCTGAGTCAGTGTCTCTGCTCTTCTTTGGGACCAAAGCTCCCTGGGGACAGACACCAGGCTGACTTTTATTCATTAAATACACATTCACGTATATGTACGTATCACATGTATCTTTTAGATACTTCTCAATGCCCGCCAGCTCATGATCAAAAATAGTTACTAAATTAAGCTAGATTACAACATCAGCTCCCAAGTTTGGGATCTCAATTTCTTATGGCTCTGCCTCAATCTCCTGTGACCTTTGTAGGCCAGTCCTTTCCATACAGAGATCCCTACTGTAGATCTCAATTTGTTCATCTGTAAAATGGCTATAGTAGCTGCCCTCCTGGGAGATTATTGGTATTTACCATATTTTATATTCTTATAAAATATGCCACAGTTTCGTATTATTATTGAACAAATATTACATGCCAGACACTTGACAAATAGTATCTTCATGACAACCACACGAGATAGGGATTATTATTATGTCACTATCCTTACTATACAGAAGTAAAAAAAAAAAAAGAGATACTGTAATTCAAGTTAAGTGCTTAGTATAGCATGCAGCACATGCTATGTGTTAAATTAAAACAAAGTTTTTTTTGACACAGGGTCTCTCTGCAGTTCAGACTAGCCTTGGAGTCACTGAGATGTTCCTGCCTCAGCTACCCTAGTGCTGGGATTACCCATAAAATTGGGGTTAAAGTTAGGATACTTCCCCAGGGCTGGGTACACAGTAGATGCTCCTCAAATATTTACTGCCAGAGGACTCAGGCCTGGCATACCAGCAACAACGGGGCAAGGCACACCTTAGTGAAGCCCAGCACAGCCCTTCTCTGACTGTCATCCAAGCCGGGCTCTCTCCCCCTGATCCACGGGGCAGGGCTGTCTTGCCCAGTTGTGTCTGGGGCTGAGGTGATTGGGTGACCCTGGGGAGATGACTTCTGTCCAGCTGTGGCAAAAGAGAGGGCAACCAATACCTTGGACTGTCTCCACACCTGCCGGGGGCTGTGGACAAAGAACTGCTCTGCACCCTATTCCAGAAGGGAAGAGGTGGAGGAGTTGTGGGGTGGGGTTACTATCCTGGGCTGCCTCTCCAGGCTATGTTTTCAGTGTCAGATAACTACAATTTCTACACGAAAGAGATAGCTTTCCAAGACAAAATATAACAAGCATGTGTGAAGAGATGCTTCCCCAACTGTAGCACCCACTGTAATCTCCTGGGAATCTTCTAAGTATGCAGACTGGGACTCAGAAGGTCTGGGTGGGGCCCAGGGGCTCTGTATTTCTGAAGATCTCCCAGGCAAGGCCCAAGATCCTGGTGCACAGAGGCACTGGAACCACACCCTGCAGTGGAGGCAATCCACAGCAACTAGCTATGCCTTTTCTCCCTGTGCTTTTCCTAGAAGAAGCCATCCTCAGTGATAGGAACCTCTCTTATGGCTGCTGCCCAGGCCCAACAGCCTGCCCAAGTACGGGTCCAGAAAGAGGCAGCAGCAGCACCAAGGCCAAGTCTGCCACCCGTCCGTCCTCCCAGGCATCACGCCACCCCAGGCCCCACCCACCTGGAGCAGTGGCCGCAGCTCGGAGGAGCTGGGACACAGCAGCTTGGCCCCTCCACCGACTCCAGGCAAGGCCAGCCCAAAACAGGCCTTGGCCACCACCTCCACTCCCCAGCAGCGGCTTCCAGGGGCCTCCCCTCCATCGCCTTATAAAGCATCCACCCGCAGGAGCTGCTTTTCTCCACGCTGCAGGTTAATTTTAATTTTATGTTGAGTTAATGCCTGTCCTGCCCGGCTGCCTCAGTGAGGGCTTCACACATTCCTTCTGGAGCAACATTACCTAATTTAACCATCACCCCTGCTCTCCAGGGCTCTCAAAATAGCAGCTGCCAGTAGGGGAAAATGCCCTAATGCTATCAAAATAAATATTCTCTCCCTCCCTGCCCCCCGCTCCCCCCCCCCCCCCGCCTCAGCTGGCACCAGCCTCAGGACCCAGCTTGAAGAGGAACCCAGGCTAGGAGAACTGGGGTGGGTCTCTGGTGCCTGGGGGTCACCCTGGACCGCGCGTACTTCCTTCCAGTCCACTCTTACATATCCTTTTCATATGCATCCCTGGGACCTCCCAGTGCCAACCCCAAGCCCTCCAGCTCATCCCCAATATACACAGCTGCCCTGGTTACCTGAAACTAGAATTCAACTTTCACTTTCTCCAAATAGCAAAAATTTAACTACCCAGGTACTAAGATTGGGTGTGTGTGTGAACGCTTCCCACACTTCAGGTGGCTCACACCTGGAAGGAGGGAATTAGTATCACCTTCCTTCAGATAAGGAAGCAGCTGGGGACTGTGGGGTGACTCGCCCAAGGTCACACAGCCCAGAACCCTAACACCCTGACCATATCACCATCCACTTGGGGCTCTCTGCAGGTGGGGGTGGCGGGTTGTGCTAGAAATGTTAGTGTGAGGTCTGCTCCCACAAACCACAGGGGTGGGATTCCAGGGCAGTTCATGCTTTGTTTTGACCCCTTGGATCCTAACTCAGTCCCAGCACCCTGGGGCATGAGCTGCCAGTCAATCTGTGACTCCAGGCGTCTGCTCCCCACCCATGTGCCGGAGCAGAGCTGCCACATTAAAGCAGGGAACACCCAGGCTGCCACCGCCTTGCCCTCTTGCAACCAGTGGTTAAGGAACCGGGAGGGCGGCTCTCTCCCGAACCCAGGGCAATCATTAACCAGGGCAGGGTGGGTGTAAAGCAGGCAGGAGATGGGCCAGCACCCCTAGGGGTGGCTTTTCCCACCTGATGCATCCTGGGGCCACTCTGCAGCCACACAGTGGGTTGATGAGGCCTCTGGCACTGGAGTGGAGAGACTGGCACTGCCACTCAGGTGTCTGGAGGTGGGTGTCAATCTGCTATCACTAGGTTGGGGGCACCCGGTGGTGCGGGAGGATTTTACCAAGTGTCATTTGCTCAGAACCTTCCCTGCCTTGGTCCCCTCCCACATAAGGAAGACAGGAGGGGGGGATGACCTGGGGCTTGCAGTCACCGGGAAGACAAACAAGACCCCTGGGTTTGCAACAGTTCCTGTTACCAAGAAATGCCTATTCCGGCTATGAATGAGCTAGAGCAGGCATCACCATTCCTGCCTGAGAGATAAGGCTCTGAGAGGTTATGCCCCGGCTGGGGTCACAACAGTAGGTGAGAGCCAGGACAATTCCCGCCTTCCCTGGCAGAATTAAATGTACCGGAATTCAGTGGTGGAGGCCCAGAGCCTTTGGCTCTGCCGGGCATGGGAAGCTCTGCGCTCCATGCCAGAGCAGAGGAACCCAGTGTAAGCGACCCAAAGAGGGGGCAGCAGAGAATGTGCCCCTGGTGACCCCAAGCAGTCTCAGGTGGCAGTACAGGTGACTTTTTAGGTTTCCAGCACCCACCAGGGCCAGCGGTGGCTTTTGGGGAAGGCTGCAGGGAGACAGTGGGCCAGCCCCTCCCCCAGGAGGCCAGCCAGCACCTCCAGCCTGGAGAATTCCCCTCAACTGCTCAGGTGAAACCCCGGTGAGGCCCAGGCAGGAGTGAAGCTTTGATCTTATCACACATTCCTGCCCGTGTCCCTGTCCCCTCTCCCCCTCCTCTGCCAGCCAGGGAGGTGGGAAATCAGGTCCACTTAACCCTTTCCTACCATCACAAGCCAAATCCAGGTCTGAGCTGTGCTCTGCCTCTCCGTCCTCACCGGGCCCAGGAAGGCAGGGAGCCTAAAGTGGAGGGGAAGTGGAAAAAAAGCACAGCACATGTGGACCCCCGCCTTCCTTGCCCCCCTCAATGCCGCAGCTCAAGCTCTGGGGACTGCCCATCCTTCCTCAACTGAGATGACCAGACCCAGGATCAATAAATACTCTTCTTGCTCCTTCACAGTGTTCACAGTGCTGGGTGCTGTGAGCTCTCACTCAGCCTAGCACAGGGCCAGCAGGGCATGAATGTTTGCTGATTGAATAAATGATGGAAGATTACACTCAGAGACTAACAATTTGCCTTGCAAATCTTATGACTGCTGGTGTAGTGCTGGCTTGCTAACCAGACAATACCAGACAATGACTACGTCCTTGGCTGGTGGCTTGGCACCAGGGACCCAGAGACCTAGAGTGACCCATGTGAGCAGATCATACGCAATGGGACAGAACAAGTTTCAAGGAGATCTCAGGGTCCAGTGAGGTCTCCATCATTTATTTCAGGATCTGTCAATGAAGGAGGTGGCAGCACTGGAAAGCAGGGTGGACCTCAGAGAACAGACCAACTTCTGGGGGGCAACTCAAAGTCCCCTTTCCTCAGACTTACTTGGTTGTCAAAGAGAAAGCAAAACGCCCATTCTGTAAGTAGCAAAACAGAGGCCCGGGGAGGAGGGCTGGTAGTTGGCTGGCAACGAAGTGCAGGCCAGGCCTTGACCTCTGGCCTGTTGATCTGGTCAGGTGCGGGGTGGAGGGGTGTCTCCTCAGCTGTCTTGGGGACTTCCTCTCATTCTTTGCCCAGCTCTAATGATTCCAGCAGTAAGTGGAGACCTTCCTGCTCTTGCAAACCCAACAACAATGCAGACAATGTGAATCCGGGGTCCAGGGGATAACTCCTGGGCCTTCGACATGCTGCCTACCTCTACCAGCAAATCCCCCACGCTCCTGAAGCCACTTCCTCCTGAAAGCCTTTTGAGATGCTCACACCAAACTGTCTCTTCCTTCTCTGACAATCTGCAGCTGTGTGGACTCCAAGTCATGGGACAGGACTTGTGAGTTCTGTCTCTCTATCAGGACTCAAAACTGGTGCGGTAGGGACTGGGCCCCGGAGGACTGGGACGCTGGCTCCACACCTGGCTCTGGGGTCTTGGGGCATCACTGCTTTCTATGCTACTTCTCATCTGGGAAATGGGCATATGACCCTGGCCACAAAGAAGTGATCGCACAGGTATTAGCAGGATGCCCACCAGCACAAAGTAGGCCCTCAGGAAAAGAACTAACAAGTGAATAAAAATGAATGGATAGAAGGCAAGGATAGATGGATGGATAGATGGATGGATGGACAGATGGATTCCTGAATCTCCTCCCCCTGCACAGGGTTTCTCTAATGACAGTTTTTGACCTGTACGTAGATTCCACGTCCTGCCTGGACCACATGCTTCTGTGTCTTGTGTGTCACCCAGCTCCCAGTACTAAGAGGCCCACAAGCACCAGCAAAAACTCACTGAGCTCCCAACAGCATGGGTTCTCCTGGGAGCTTGGAACCTAACAGGAGGACTCAGGTTCTCGGGGTGGGGGAGCCTCAGTTCCAAGGACAGCCAAATCCATCTCCCTGGGGATCACTATTGATGCAATGGAAGCTAAGTGGCAAAAGGCACCAAAGTACAAGAAGCCAGAGAGGGCTAAACCTGTGAAGCAGACACGCAGCCCAGATCCACCTCCTCCAGGCAGCTCTTCCGGGATTCGTTCTGTCTCTGGTCCCCCATAGGCTGGACCCAGACAGGATGACAAAGAAAGAATGACAGACCTGGAAAGAATGAGGACTTCCTCCAGCGAAAGCTGAGTAACCTGGGCTCCTCTCCAAGATGGATGGACGGGTGGACAGTGGGCCAGCCATCCCGCCCCCGTGCCTCACTTTTCCTCTCTGAAAAGTGGAGATCTGAAGACCACTGTGAGCTCTAAGGAGATGATGCCCCGCAGGAGAGTCCTGTGCCAGGCTGGCCAAAGACAGATGGCACTTTCAGCAAGACAGGTAGCGACCCTCCAGATCCCCGGGTAGAGAAGGGCCTGGCCTCTCCTCAGGGAGCTCTAGGTCTCGGTTCCTCTGGCCCAAGGGTCACCGGAAGGCAGAGGGGGAAAAGAAGAGCTGTTAAAATGACAAGGGCTGGGATTTATGAGGTCAAATCTCAATCTATCAGTCCAGCGAGGGATCCAAGAAGAGGCATGATCCCAGTTCCCAACTATTTGGAAACCAACGGCCAAACATGGAGAGCGATGAGTCAGCTGGGGTGAGGAGGGGGGCTGAGCTGGGCCCTGGGGGAGCAGAGGGCAGGCAGGGGAGGGGGAGGGGAGGGCTGGAGGTGGGCTGGGAAGGGGCCAGAGGCAGCTGGGAATTCCCAGCCCCACCCCAGGAGAGCATCTGTGGGGTCACCCAGGGCCACCTGGAAGCCTTCCCCCGCCCAGCCCCTGGCTGCTTCCCTTCCCTACCAACTGGGACTGGAACAAGATGGACAAAGGTTAAAACCTGAGACATGGAAGTGTCCTGGCCTGGTGGGCAGGGGCCACATCTACCCCACAGCCCAGGCGCAAAGCACAGGAGAGACAACACTGCCCAGGCCTCGAGTGCCCTCTTCTTCCCTAGTTCTGTTTCTGAGGAACCCCGGGGCCTCAGCTGCACAGCCCACCAGCCTTGTAAGGAAGACCGGCTGCAGGCTTGGCCAGAGCTCCTGGGCAAGGTCCTGCCTCACTAGTTGGACCTAAGGGAGGATGGGGCAGGATGAGGTCCCAGGACACGCCCTCTGCTGCTCCCCTCAAGATGTGCCAACATACTTGCTTTGCCCCTGGGAGCAACTCCCCCCCAACTGCTCAGAGCCCACCAACTGCACCACACATCTGGGAAGGGGACAATGTGTCCGCAGGCTCCAGCCTTTCCCAGGCCACACCCTGGGGTGTGCCCCCCTCCTTCTCCCCTCCAGGAAGGAGCAATCAGGGTGGAAGGGTGGACTCTGTCCTGCAGCTGTGGCCTTGGTGGGGGAAGGGGGGCAGTGACAGATCAGTTGCAGTTGCATCTGGGGCTCTGAGCCTGAGACAGAGGGGTAGAGGGAACAGGCCAAGGGAACTGGATGATCCCACTACCCAAACTTTCATTCAACAAGCCCAGGGGTCTGTGGAGAAGGTGTGCCATGGGGCACATGCCTGTAATCCCAGCACTTGAGAGGATGAGGCAGGAAGATTGCTTTGCATTCAAGGCTGGCATTCAAGGCTGGCCTCGACTACCTAGTGAACTACCTATGGAGATCCTATCTCAAAAGGCAAACAAACAACAAACAATAAAGAATATTATTATGCTGGCCCTCAGCAGGAGCAAGACCAACAACAGATCAGCGAGCTATAGAACACCGGCCACATTCCAGGCATATCCACCTGGTCATCTATCTCTTAACCACCAGAAATTAGGCATTCACACTCCACTTCACAACTGAGGTTCACAAAGAAAAAGCACCCTGCCCAAGGTCAAGCCAGACAGGGCTGCTGTCAGAGCGCTCTGGTAGAGGGGGCATTCCCAGCCTGTCCCACCTCCTCCGGGCTGCAGCAGAGACCAGCGCTGGAGGGCCAGAGAAAGCCTCTTTCCAAGCCTCAGAAAGAGCTGCGGGCTTCCTCAAGGGCATTACCAACCATATTCAGTGGACAATGTTCACCTGTTCACTGCCTCGCATTAGGTAAATGGCAAAGAAAAAGCCCGAGTCCTGTGCTCACGGGGCTTCCTATTAAATGCACAAACTTAGAAGCCAGGAACTCAGGCTGTGGGATTCCAAGGACTCAGGACCGGGGACTCCACAATCGGACACTCAGCAAGCACCCTTGCACTCTGGCACGGGTCAATGCAGGGCCCTGGGCTGGTCTCTTCCACACTTCCCCGCACCATCAGCCACCCCCACCACCCTTGCAGCTGCTCATCTATGTCTGAGCAGTGCAATTCTCCCGGATGCTCGGGCCTGAGACTGTGGTGGACGTTCTCTGAGACTCCTGTCTTCCCATCTCATGCTATGCATACAACCCATCAGCCAACATCGTCAGCCCCATCTTCAAAATATGTTCAGGATTCAACCTCTGCTTTCTACTCCATCGCCGAGGTACAAGATGCAGTCATCTCTGGCCTGGGTTGTGGCCTCCTTCCCTTTGCCCTTGGCTCTCCACGCAGCAACTAGAGCGATCCTGCTCAACATGCAGGCTCATTAACAACTTTGCTCTCACACATGCTGTCCTGCCACCAACTGCTTTTCCATCAACATGCAAGCACATTCTGACCTCCGGGCCTTTGCACAAGCCACTTCCCGAAGTGCCCCTCCCTAGATGTCTGCAGGACTCTCACCCTCCCTTCCTCCAGTTTTCCTTTGGTTCAATGTTATCAGGTTTTCCTGACCCCTTGCCCTACTTCATCATTCTCTAACCTCTTCCCTGCTTTATTTTTCCTTCCCAGTACTTACCACTGTGTGGCATATTTTATTTATTGCCTGTCTTCCTGTACGAGCTATAATGCAAGTTACAAGAAGGGAGAGAAACTGACTTTTTCGCTCTCTGCAGTAACCTTAAGTCTAGAACAGACTCAGATGAATAGAAAATGCTTCATGAATATTTGTTAAATGAGTTTTTAAGTCTAACACACACCTGCATGGCCATTCATTTATTATTTAATGCACACTGCAAGCCCACACGCACCAGACCCCCTGAAAATGCAGAGAGCACCAGGGCACCTTCCTCCATGCCACAGGGAAAGGGCTCCAGTGGGAAGTTGGGAGCTGGGCCCAAGGACATCTCTGGATGCCCCCAGGGATGCTGTGAGGTTCCTGCAACCTGGCACAAAGGGGCACCATGGAGAGGAGGAAAGCGCTATTCTGATGGTGGCTAAGACTGGAAGGCCCCACATTCCCAAGCCTCAAAGAGCAACCTTGTTCTCAAGTCTGCCATGCGGATGACCCCCGCCCCACCACCCCCAAGGGCCGCGAGCCACACCCCTCTCAAGGCAGCTATTGACACAGTTCCGACGCCACCAGGCCTGGCAGTAAGCTGGCGGCTCCCCGCGAATCAAGTTCCACACATACTTCTGGGTTTCAGTCAGCCTGCTCTGGGCGCTGGGGCAGCCAGCCCCAGCCAGCCTTGGGAAGCAGGAGGGGGTGGCATGGCCAGAGAGGCCAAGGGCTGGGTAGGGGCAACATTCCAGCGGGCCAGGACCCCCAGCCAGCTGCCCCCTTGCAGGCAGAAGCAGTATCCAGGTGGGGAAGGCCGGTGGGCTAGCAGTCCCTTGGGAGCTGACTGCTTCTCTGCTAGTCTGACCCTCACAGCTGGGCCTGCAGCAGGGAGGAGCTAACAGGCCAGGGCTGGGAGCCACTCCTTGTGGTCCCCTGCGGTCTGAGGGTCCACAGCCCATGTCTGGGCTCCAGGGAATCTCCTCTGATTCACCATCCAGATCTTCCCACATCCTGGGCAGCCCCTCCCTCCCAGCCTCTCACCCCAATATTGGTCAGCCCTGCGGGCTGCAGAGCCCGGCCCCAGCCTCCAGCCCCAGGGAGCAGCCCAGGAACCCAGGGAGGGCTCTACAGCTGCAGGCCGGGAGGGGGCCCCCCTCACCCCATTGACCTGGCTCCCTAGAAGCCCCAGATTCATTCAACAGCCTATACACACTCAAGAACCTTTTAATGAGGACATTAATTCATTAACCAACTGCAAACGACTGCCCTAGAATCCAGGTCCTACACTCCTACCACCACACATGTCCCCAGGAGGCCCTTTGGACACCAGGACACAGCCACCCTGATCTTCAGTCCCCAACCGTTCTTGCCTGGGGTGGCCCCTGTGCTACTTGGGGCCATAGTTTTGACGTACATAATCAATCAGTAGTGACCTTGTGTGTGTTCCTAGGGGAGTGTGTGTGTTAGTTACTGAACCCTGGGCTACCTCCCAGCCCCTCCCTTTCTTTTTTCTTTCTTTCTTTCTTTTTTTAGACAGTGCCTCACTAAGTACTTGAATTGCACAAGCTGGGATTCTCTTGCTTCAGCCTCCCACAGTGGCAGGATTAAGGCACCCACCACCACATTTGGCATCAGTGACGTTTATCAACATTTACTGACCGCTGGCCACAAGCAGGTGAAACTGTAGGCAAGCAGTCCGGAGAGCTTCATCTGCCTTTACAACGTGGCTCTTCCGTCAATATGTGAGTGCCAACGTCACGGAGCAAACTGCTTCACCTCTCTGTGCCTCGAGACACAGGAGACTTCTGTGTGGAGCCTCGGGCCACATAGGAAGCAACAGCTTGATACATTCGACAAATATACTCCC